GGTAGCCAAAAGACCTACAACTCAGATGAGATGCTTACGATCGCATATACGAAGCAGCTCCTTAGGAGCTCTGCCAGCCCCGCTAAGATCAGCCCAAGGCGGATACCCCCATATTCAGCAATGCTGGAAGTGTTGCAAGCCTTGCTGCAACTCCTGTTCTGCCACTCCAAAACTGCCACAGACTCAGGCTCTTATTCTGCCTTTTGCGAAACGTTGGAAGCTGGATAGTGCATCACGTGCGTTTAAAGAAGTCTTCCATCGTTTGACTCGACTGTAACTCACGACTGCCACGCTCCAAGATTGAAAACCCTGTCTACAGAATTAGCTCTGCTTGCATGCACACATCGATAGGTTCGCTAGGGCACCTCTGACAGACCTTCTCACAGCTTCCTTCTGATGAGAGACCTTCGTTTCTCATGGCAGGACCGTTGCGCCCTGCAGCAACTCCAGAACGATTATTATGAAAGTTTCCCCAAGAGCCAGTAGCCTCTTCTTTGGCTAAAGGTATCTTGTGAACAGCAATACAGGGTTCCTAAACCCGGGATAGAGAGGCACCGCCTCTCCAGCTCGCCTTACTAGAACCGCTGCCTTAAGGCAACCGCGAAGGCGTGGGTGTAACGAGATATTAATGGATTCTATCCGAGGAGTGGTTGGAACTGCAAGGTAGCTAAAATACTCCTTCCAAAGTTCACCAAATGCAACTGTACTTCTTCTCTCTTGGAACGTCAGGAGGGCCACAGTCCAGCGCTGTAGCTGTGGGACGAGGAACGGCCTGCCATGTTGCAAAGCAGTTTGCAGCAACTCAAGGTGCATTGCAGCCCCACACACGAGCACAAGCAAGCCTTCTTGGTCGTTTGCCCAAACACTGTAGGCATTTGCTTGTGCATCGCGTGTGTACTATGCCAGGGTAGGAGTTCAACTGCCCACTCAAGACATAATTGGTAACGTTGTAGAGACTATCCAGTATCTGCTCCCCTCCGTCGCACACGAAGCAACCATTCCCATGAGCCTGTTTACGTCATGAAGATAGGTACGAACTGTAAGTTCCTCCTGTTGATGAGCAACTCAGGTGGCTTTCGGCTGCCTTTGCTGCTCCGCTCATTCAGTGCCCGTACGGCAAATCCTCCTCCTTATCCGCCCACTTCCTATCCGTTAATTACCGCCTCCAGCACTTAGGCAAAGAGTTGATTTCCTACGTGGCTGAAGACCTGATGTTGCAGGTGCTGCGCAGACGACGATTCCAGCATTTGACACACACGGGGAACTTCACGTCTGTGGACGGCGTTCCACATGTGGAACTCCACGTCTGCGACAATGAGTCTGCCTGTTCGTTTGCCTCTTCGACTTTATTTTGTGGTAAATAACGAAACAGCGCATGTATTGATGACTTGACTGTTCGCCCGTCGCATTGATGCTGGCCGAAGTTCCAGGCTGTTCAGGCATACGGATTAAAGCTAGCCGTAGGCAGAGTACGCACTCTAGATATGAATAGTTGGCTCATAAAAGCACCAATAATGCGACGCATTTGGGGTATCCTTGGTTGTTAAATTACAACGATTACCGTGACTTGGTGAGTCCCAACCTTAAGCTGCACTGTCGTACGATGGGATCTCCAAACCGACGGCGTAGGCCAATGCATTTTCCCGTGAACAAACGGCAAAAGGTCCTACCCATCCTACCCAGCTTACATCGAACTTCTTCGTGAGCTGTCCCGCATTAACGCGTTGAGTGGCATGCAAATCGGCAAGGTCCAAGTTTCCTGGGCTAGAAGTAACTGGTGACTGTCCTTTGTCGTTATTGACTGCCTGGTGTTCCTGTTCTTTTCTCATTTATTTCCGTGGTGCTGCGAGAAGTGTGGGGAACCTTCTATGTGCGGACGTAAATGAGTAGCCTGTGGAAGCTGCAGTTTAAGGTCAGGCATGCGGATGGTGTCTCGATCAAGACCAGGGAAGCTGGAGAGCAAGGAGTCTGAAGCAAACAGCTGTACTGTAAATGCATTCCGCACAAGGGACAGAATCAAGGCATTCTGAGAACGTCGGCTGAATACTGAGTCGCAACGTGAACTACAGGTTTCAGTGTCGGCTTCAGGACAGGTTGGGATGGTCATGTTGTGGTCGATGCAATATAGCTTTACAAATTCGTTCCACGCCACTAAGGAACTTTGGATCCCTGACAGCGATTACACTTTCCGGAAAATGTATGAAGACTGACGAATACTTGAGACGCTCCATCTGTTGTAAATGAACTAAAACAAGGGACAAAATGTTCATACATGCGGGTCCCGTCCACTATGTGGTAGGTGCCGTAGCTTCCGACTGGTGGTTATCCGACAGTGCAATCCTACCGTCCAGTGTCGTTCGGGAGCCAGAGAGCTCAGCACGATTCCACGTTTGAGATCGTCGGGTGGGCTTTTTGCTAACATCCTGGAAACGTGAGAGAGAATCCTTCCGCTGAGAGACCCACGTTAAGCATGACCGTGTCACTCGCTCCACCGTTGTATTGAAGCATCCATGGCCTGCCACCGCATGACCGTGGATTTAGTGTAAAACTCCCTTACAAAATGAAGATCGAGCATACCGTCGGTGAATTCCAGGCTTCATCTAGTCCCAAAAGTGACCTGGTCCATGCTGCGTTGCTCTACTTGTAGCCTATTGTTTGACATTGCGATAGCTGCAGCAGCATCAGTATCAAAGAAGTATGATGGGAGCAAATTTCGAACAGGAAAGGGAACCATAACAAAAGAGTGAAAACCCAGGTGCAGAACACAGTGCCTGGCTTGTACTACGTTGGGAGAGCGCGTATGCAACCCTTGGTGATGCTCTTGGTATATTTTACCGTGAAGGCGTACTGGGCGAGCGAGCAGTCACACTCAACACCCCTTCTATAATTGTAATTATGAAACCTCTTCGCCCGGCTTGTGAGGAATTTATGGTCGATATGAACAGTGCAGCGTGTGCCACATACATAAAACCGACAGTTCTTTACTCCCCACCAGACCGCGTATAGCTCTTTCTCGCAATCGGGATACTCGGGAAACGGTTGGAGTTCTCTGCGATGCTTTTGCAGCTTTTCAAACTACCTGGCCTCATGAGAGAGCATCGTCCTAACTGCGGTGTCATCTTAGTGTTAATTAATACATGTACGGACTCTGCCTTCAATTGTACCCACTTCTGCTGTTCTTCAGATGATAATGGGATCGACCACCCCAAAACAGCTGTTTTCGTAGGACTGTCCCAACGGGATTCGACTGTCCCAAACCAGCAGCCTTCCGAAGACCATCTTAACGGGGGTTCATGCATTACTCGCCGTTATCCGCATCGCCTCTGTAATGAGTAGGAGCTTTTCCGCTCCTTGATCGTGCTCGAGGAACAGCAGGAGAGGCAAGCGAGCCAAAATACTCCAGCCAGAGTTCACCAAATGCAACTGCCTTCACCACTATCCTAATTTCCTGAGCTCAACGGCGAATCGCGTGGAGTTGTGAGAGAAGGAGCGGCTTGCCCTGCGTTGCACCGCAGTTGGCTGCAATCACGGCACGACACAGCCGCATATACAAGCACAAATGAGACTTCTTTGTTGAATGGACAAACACTGCAGGCAGTTGCTAAGAATTTTGCTTGCGTACCGTTTGCATACTAGCGCCGGTTAAGGGTTCATGCTCCAACTTTGGCGAGACTCGCCAGCACAGACTGTGCTACACTGCTCCGCTGTCAACCAGTAACAGTAGTACGGCCGGCACCACAGACAGCTGTTAATACTTAGTCAGCTGTCAGTAGCACACACGCGCATTAAAATTAGGGTAACTCCCAGTCTTGGACTTGCCTTTCTTCACAGATCTCTCTTCTATACTTGTTGATTTTGTCTGCGTGAGTTGCACCGGTGTTGAGCCTGGAGGTTTCAACACTCCAAGGTGACCAGCACCACTGCAGAGTTTGTGTTCAAGAGCGGTACAATTATTGCGTTCTACTTAAAAAAAAGCTAAGAAAAAGGTAACACAACATTTCCAGAGCAGACTATAATGTACATGCACACGCCGACACACAGGGACACTTAATTCTATGGATAGCGGTGTTGAGTAAATGCAACAGTATTAAATAAATTAAACCAAGTTTATACGTATGTTTAGGGGCAGAGAGGTGAGTTCGAATGCCTCGAGGCGCCTGCAGCAGACACGTGCAGCAGCAGCACCAGAACAACGGCGCTGCAGCAGCTGCTGCAGCAGCTGCTGCTGTTAGCAGCAGCGGCAGCGGCTGCTGCTGCTGCTACTACTACTGTCGGTTGCAAGAGGCGGTGGAGTGTGAAGTGAAAAAGAGCTTGTGAATTAGGTGGGAAAGAGGAAAAATCGAAAAAAGTAGAAATCAGTTGATTCATATACCTCCCTTTATTGCTTCTCTAAGGCCCCGCTGTACCCCTCGGGCTCCTCCGCTCCTTCTGTGGCCTGTGGGCGCTGTGCGTAGAGCGCCTCTTGCTGCAGCAACAGCAAGTCATATTTGTTTCCCCAGTCCCTTCACTTTTACAGAGTTGAACAAAGCAGGGGCTGGGCCCCTGGCAGACACTCTCAGCCCTGCAGCAGCAGCAGCCGCTGCTGCTGCTGCTGCCGTAGCAACATACCTTTCTTCTTCCCAACCGCCTCCTATCTCTTCCTCCTTTCGTTGGCACCCACCCTTGCTGTTATTTCCGCTGCTGCACTCGCCTTGCCTCTTAGGGGCGCTTGTGGGGGGTGCTTCTAGGGCCGCATCCGCCGTTGCTACTGCCGCCGCCGCTGTTACTGCTGCTGCCGTAGGTATTGGCAACAGCAGAATTTCCGTTGGCAGCATCAAGCTGTAGTACGACGGTATCAACCTCAGCGCGCCACTCTCCCCCTCAACAGCCATAGAGACACAGGCCCCGGAAGCATTATATTAACAGGGGAGACAGCAACAAAAGCGGAAGCAGCTGCAGCAGCACACGCCACCTCCGCAGCAGAAGCACGGCCTGGTGTCACCGATTGGAACAGCAGCAACATGTACCAGCCGAGGCCTGCAGCGGGAGTGGGGCGTGCGCGCCCTGCTGCTGCTGCTACCGCTGCTAGCAGCAGCAGCGGAGGCGGTAGCAGCTCTCTAGGTGCTTCTACTTCGCATAGGCGAGGGTTCGGCGGGACGCCGGGGTCGTTATCTAGGGGACTTCCTGGTGTTAACAGTAGTGCAGCTGCTGGCGTGGGGGCACATGGGGTCCCTACAGGTTCTACTGGAGCGTCTCCGAGCCGCCCTAAGACCTTAGATGCGCTATTGGGTTCGATGATGCTGCGGGAGGGCCCTTCAAGCAGAAGCGCTCCAGCTTCTGCTGCTGAAGGGTCTGCTGGTACTGCACTTCCGCAGCACGGTAGCAGCGGAATAGGAGTCCCGGGCGGCCTGCTGGCAGGCTTAGGGGGGGGCAGCTCACCTGTTGCAGCAGCAGCAAAAGTCGTTGCTGCTTCAGCAGCAGACATTTCAGCAGCGAAGAGTAGTAGCCCTGCTACAGCTCCAACAAGGAGGCGCTGGGATATCCCTACAGCAACTGCCGGCGCAGCAGACGACAGCAGCAGCAGCAGCGGCAGAAGCCCAGTTGCTGCGGCGGGTGTAAAGGGGCCGCAACAGCAGCAGCGGCTGTCTCTGGGAAAGTCCTCCCCTTCGACGCTGCAGCAGACTGGGGGCCCTACACCCCACACCCTTGCTGCTGGTTTCTTTGCCCCCTCTTCTGCGCCTCCAAAGGATGACACAGCAGCTTCTGTCTTCACGAGAAACCTGACGCAACAGCAGCAAGATTCGCAGCGGCAGCAGCAGCAGCAGCAGCAGCCGCAGCAACAGCCACAGCAGCCGCAGTCTCAGCAGCAACAACAGCAACAGCGGCGGCTGACTTTGTGGGGACTGAAACGAGTAGGGGCAACGGCAGGAACTGGAGGAGCAGTCGCAGCAGCAACAGCACCAGCTTCAACAGGAGCAGCAACAGCAACGAGGGGTGACGACAGCACCAAATGCTGCGTTGACACACCTGCTATGGGGGCCACTTTAGGGTCGGTTTCTGTCTCTTCCTCTGCTCCCTCTTCCAAGGATGCAGGAACAACGATTACAGAGGGGGCTGCAGGACCCGACCAAGCAACACCAGCAGTGGCAGCAGCAGCAGATGACGACGAGGAGCTTCCGCCGTCTCCAGCACGCCAAGAGCATGTGTACTCACTGCAGAAAATGCTGGCAGTTCATCTGCTGCAGCGGGAAGCCGACGCAGCAGAGGTGAAGGCCGTGAGGGCCCTCCATCGCCCCGACCACCCCGCTGCGTTCTTTGCTGCTTCTCTGGAGTCCCTGAAGCTGGCGCCCCACCAAAGACAAGGGGCTCGTGCACCACCTCCAGTAAGCGAAACCGATCGATTTGCTGCAAACACTTCCAAGCACTGCCTCTGCAGCAACCGCATCGACGGCGTCCTGCATATTGTAGGGAGCTTTCGTCTGTAGTTCATTTAGCCTGCCCCAATTTTTGCTTGGGTGATGCTGCTGCAGGAGGGAATGTCTGCAGCCGGCGAACGGTCCGCCTCATATGGACGGCCAGGACAGCAGGAGCAGGAGCAGCAGCAGCAAGGTTCGTGGATGGTTCGTGGGGCAGGTGAGAGGTTGGCAGAGCTGGGGCCATCGAACATGATGAGCCCGAACAGAAGCACATAGAGACACAATTAGACAGCAGGGGGGGAGACAAACAACAGAATGGGAGATAAGTTAAGGTTAGGGGAAGAGATTATTAAACATCAGAGGGGATGTCTGGCCAGAGGACATAGGGACAGACAGTCTGGATAGCAGCATGTGTGCGGCATCGTTTCTGCGTGGCTCTGTTGTCCTTACTTTGTTCCCCGTATTTGTTTGTGTCTTTGTTGCTCCTGCAGCAGCTTCAGCAGATGCTGCTACTGAGGCTGGCGAACAATCCGATACTTCTGGGGGCGGCCTCTCGCAGGGCCCTTCTCCGCTGCAGTTGCGCCTTGGCCGCACGGCTGCAGGCGCCGGTGACGGGGAAGGGAGCACGCAGCAACAGCAGCAGCAGCAGACGCGAGCGTCCTTCAGCCGACGTCTGTTTGGGGACTCCACTGATTCTCATGGGGGCCCCCAGTTGGGGGGGGCACCGCAGCCGCAGCAGCCCCTGGGTGCAGGAGGGTACGCAGGCGATAGCGGGCGGAGGCTGTGGGGCCACAGTCTACAGCAGCAGCAGCAGCGTGGGGGTGGGGATGGAGACAGCACTACATCGTCCCGCGGCCACGACTTCAGCAACCGGTTCACGAGGTCTGAAGTGGGTCTGTTTGCTGCTGACTCTTTGGGGTCTCGCCCTTCTCAGGGGCCACCAGGGGCGCAGCGGGGGCTCCCCGGATGGGGAACCTCAGCTGCAGGAGACGGGGCAGACACAAGCATTAGCAGCACTTGCAGCAGCAGGCAGCAACACCATGTGAGACACAGAGGAGAGGGTGACGCATACTCGGAGGGCCCGTCACCAACTCCAGGGGTGCCGGCGCCGGGCTGTGGGGTGTGGGGCCGCACGGGTGTTACTGCAGCACGCAGTAGCCGAACCTCCTCGAGACGAGAGACTGCAGAGGACGGAGCGGCGACAGCTGCTGCCGCTGCCGCTGCTGCTGCTTCTACAGGAAGCACTGCAGCAAAACCTCAAAAACCAGACGATAGCGCTTTCCAGCGACTAGGACTACAGCGCCAGTTTCCGCAGCAGCAACAGCACCAGCAAACAAATGACCCATCAGCAGCACCAACAGTAGCAGCAGGCGATGGGGTTGTTGGATCAGAAGCTCCTAGAGACCTCCCCAGGGATACGGAAGCAAAAACAGCAGCAGCTGCTGGTGAGGCCGTTGGCTTGGATGCAATGGAGAAGCTTGCAGGCTTCCACATCTCACAGCAGCAGCAGCAACCGCAACAGCAACAACAGCAACAGCAGCAGGAACAGCAGCAGCAGGAGCCTTTTGGCATCAACTTTTCTGCCCTGTCTGCCGCTCTTTCCTCTTCTGTCAAATCTTCGCAGATGCAAGGAGTAGCGGACGCAGCACAAAGTTCTGCTGCAGGCGGATCAGCGCTCCCGGTGCCTCGACGAGAGGAGATTTGGGCTCAACCGGACGCCCGGCAGTTGTTGCTGCAGCATGCAGAGCAACACCAGCAGCAGCAGCAAGAGGAGGATGAGCAACAACAGCCCGTAGACCCCTTCTTCGCACAGCGCGAACGACCGGATTTGCCTTCTGTCGCGGCCTTTTGGAATGAAGAGCCAATCATAAGACGAAAGCCCCGGCAGCAGCAGCAACAGCAGCAGGAACAGCATCAACAGGAACAAGAGCCTCAGCAGCAGCAGCACCAGCTACTGATGTTGCAGCAACTAGGGGATGGTTCTGCCCGTTCGTGGCCTAGTCTTGAAACGGATCCAGAGCAGCGTTCGTTTACGGGCGCACCGGAGCAGCAGCAGCAGCGAGGGGCCTCACTGCCTCCATGTAGCTTTTCGCGTGTGGAGTCCCTTTTAGAAAGAGGAGAACTGCCTGCGGATCTTCATCCCCTGCAGGAGCGAGCACTAGCAGCAGTAGGAGCAGGAGCAGTGGCGGCACCGGGCCCGGTTGCCTCAGCAGGAAGTAGCAACAGCAGAAAGGATCTGGTGGGGGATGCCAATCTGACGTCCCTGCAGCGGCTGCTAAATGGCGAAATGACTGAAAAGCAGCTGCACGCCTTGGCAGCACAAGTACATTCCGTGCGTTCCAGTGCCCCCGCTCGGGCTGCTGCAGCAGCAGCTCTTTCCCAGTTCATGGCAGCTAACGCAGTGCAACAGCAGCAGCAGCAGCAACAACAGCAACAGCAGCAGCAGCAGCAGCATCCAGTTGCGGACACACGGCTGCAGCTGCCGGGGCCTGGAGGCCTTGCTGCTGCGGCCGCTGCCGTTGCTGCTGCTGCAGTGCAGCAACAGCAGCAGCAACACGCAGACAATCAGCAGGCAGAGGCAGGGTTGCAGGGGCCGTATTCTTTGGCGCGGCTACGGCAACAGCAGGCCTTGCTAGAGCAACAGCAGCTGCAGCAGCCGCAGCAACTGCCTGCATATAATGCCCCTCAGCGGCCGCCGATCGCTCCCGGCCCCATGGGAAACCGTGTAGACCTGTTTGCTGCTGCCTTGCAGCAGCAAGAGCAGCAACAGCAGCAGCGTGACATCCACCGCATGTTGGGGGGCCTGCCGGTTGGGGCACCTCAAGGACAGCAGGAGGTTGTGGGACCCCCGGTGGAGAGTTTGCAGCGAATGATGATGGATGCGGGTGTGCCGCTGAACAGCAGCAGCAACAGTAGCAGCAGCAGCAGCATTTGGTACTACAAGGACCCGAGCGGGACCCAGCGGGGCCCCTTCAGCAGCAAAGATATGCACGGCTGGTGGCAGCGCAACTATTTCGCTGATAACCTCCTGATGAAGTGGGACCCCCTGCTGCCGTGGCTTCCCTTTGGCCTCATTTACCCTGCGGGGGGTCCTCAGCCCTTCACAGCGCTGCCGGACTTACAAGGGATTCAGCAGCGGCTGCTACAGCAGCAGCAACAACAACAGCGCGAGCGACTCCTCCAACAGCGACACCAGCAGCAGCAACAGCAGCAGCAGCAACAGCAGCAGCAACAGCAGCAGCAAAGACGCCTACATCAGCCCACACCAGCTGCAGCACCAGCGTCCGCAGGGCCCCCAAGCTTCCGTTTGTGGGATGTGAGCAGATACTAAGCACATCGTTGCCTTATTCATGCGTCTTTGCGGTGTCTGGTGCCGCAGCTGGTGCTGGTTCTGTTGTTCGTGGAGCATCTAGTGCTGTGCAGCGTCTGCTGTTGCCACTGTGAATCGAATGCTGTTGTTGTGGTCGCACCGGCTATGGCTATTATGTGGGTACGGCGGCGGCTGTCAGTGTGTGTGCTGCTGCTGCTGGTGCGTGGTAGTGTGTGTTATTGACGTGGTGAGATGGTGCCTTTCATCGGCGTTTGTTGTGCATGCAGCAGCAACCGCATCCACTGGGTTGGGGGGGGGGCCACCGGGGGACCCTGGGTGTGACTGAGACGGAGGGAGGGGGTTTTGGGCTGGAGGAGCCTTCGGAGAGTCGTTCGTCTTCGGGTGTGTCTGGTGCTGCTGACGACATGTCTGTGGCAGCAGCAACAGCACAGACTGCTGTTGCCGCTGCTGCTGCTGCCGTCGGCGCAGATGACGCGGCCGCATGGGAAGTGTGGATGCGACGGGCGGGTCTGTCTTTGCCGCATCAGCAGCCGCAGCAACAGCAGCAGCTTCGCGTTGGTGCAGCTGCAGGGGATATGGGTCATTTTGGTGCTCTTCACGCACAAGAACAGCCACAGCAGCAAAAGCAGCAGCAGCAGATGTTCATGCTACAGCAGCAGACAGCGGATGCGATGCATCGCCCGTCTCTCGGGGGACCCGCCGATGACCAGCATCAGCAGCATCAGCAGCATCAGCAGCTTCAGCAGCATCAGCAGCATCAGCAACAGAAGCAGCTTCAGGAACAGCAACATGAGCAGCAGCATCAACAGCAGCAGCAGCAGCAAGGGCTTGTGGTCGGACGTGCAGCGCAGATGACTTCAACCCTCAAAAACCTTCTCGGGATTGGTGGCCCACATGGGCAGCAGCGAGAGCAGCAGCAGCAGCAACAGCAGCCGCAGCAGCTCCAGCAGCAGCCGCTTGAGGAGGTGGAGGAGCAGCTCCAGCAACAGAAGCATGCCCTGAGCTGGACTGCGGATAGATTGGCAGAAGCGCAGCGGCAGCTGCAGCAGCTGCAGAAGCAAGAGCAAGCACACACAAAACAGGTGTTTACGTCGATCGATGCTGATCAGAAGCAGCAGCAGCAGCAGCAGCAGCAGCAAGCGCCTGTTACTGCTGCACCTAAGCAGTGGGCAGCCACAATGGAGGAGTCGTGCAGGCAAGACAAACAAAAGAAGCATCCGCAAGAGAAGCAGCAGCAGCCAGAGAAGCAGCAGCAGCAAGATAAGCAGGAGAAGCAGCAACACCAAGACAAGCAGCAGCAGCAGCAGGAAAAGCTCCCGCAGGAGAAGAAGCAGCAACAGGAGAAGCAGCAGCCACAGCCAGAAAAGCAGCAACTGCCGCACGATAGACAGCAGCAGCAGAAGCCTCCAGAGAAAGATAGGCACCAGCAGGACAAGAAACAGCAGCAGCTGCAGCAACAGCAAGAGAAGCAGCAACAGCGCCAGGCGAAGCAGCAAGAGCAGCAGCAGCAGCGTCAGACGAAGCAGCAGGAGCAACAGCAACAGAAACAGGAGAAGCCGCAGCATGCCCGAGAGAAGCAAGCAAGAGCACCTCAGGAAAAAACGGCCCTTACCAGCAGCAAGGCGAAAGCCCCGGCTGCTGCCGCTGCTGCTGGGGGTTCTACAGCGGAAGCAGCAAAGGGAGGATGGGAAGTTGCAGGTCACAAGGGGCAGCGCAAGAAGGAGCAGCAAAAGCAGCAGCAGCAGCAAGAGAAGCAACAGCAGGAGGGTAGGCAGATGGAGCCAGAGGCGAAGGCCCCAAAGCCACAGCCAGAGAAGCAGCAAGTGCAACAGCAGGGGAAGCGTGCGACTGCAGAAGGTGCATCGGGGGAGCAGCCGCGGCGACCTGTTCTTGGGGGCCCGGCTCCGTGGGTATCTGTTGCTGCTGCTGCAGCGAACCGGCCGAATGTAACTCTGAAAGAAGTGATGGAGTTGCAGAGCACCGAACAGTCGCGAGAGGCTGAAGAGAGAAGAAAGGAAGAGGAAGCTGCACTGAAGGCTGTAAGTCTTGCAACACTTCGTTGATGCTGCTGCTGTTCCTGAAGTTGCCTGCAGCGCTGTTTCCCCTGGTGCTCTTGCCGTTTGGTATTGAGCTCCCGCGCCTCCACAGCACGCTTCTCCCGCTGGCGTATGAATTGCAGCAAGTCTTTCTTTGCGCGCTTGGTGTAGGAGCCGTTGCTTTTGCTTCCTTTTTTCCCACTATGGCTGGTGTTATCGCTCCTGTCGGCCAATGCGTGCATGTCTTGCGTTTGCGTTTTGGTGCTGCAGCAACAGCAGCAGCAGGAAGCAGCTGCTGCGCGTCTGCGCTGGGCAACGCTGCAGCGGAAGGACAGCAATGGACAAACCGTTCCAAGCTGGGGCACGCCGGCGGTCTTGGGCGTCCCTGGGGCCCCTTCTGTGGGTTCATCAGAGGACTTTCCTGATCTGCTTGAAGGAGCAACGAATACGTTCAGCAGTGGGGCGGCAACCCCATCCACCCTGACGCCTGCTGCTGCACCTGCTCCTGCTGCAACAGCACCAGCAGCAGGATCCGCACCAGCTGCTGCCCCTGCTGCTGTTGTGAGAACTCCCTCTCTGGCTGGGGGCGCCGAGGCAGGAGCAAATCCCACCGCCACACGCAAGGGGGGATCCGGCACGAAGGGCAAGCTGAAGGGCAACACGCAATCGCTTCAGGACTTTATTGCTGCTGCGGCCCACAGCAAGAAAGACAATACAGCTCTGCCTCTGGGCGCGACAGCGTGGTCTCAAGGGGCACCCAAGGGCCTGGCTGCTTCTGTACCCCCACCCACCCCCATGCAGCAGCAGCAGCAGCAACAGCAGCAGCAGCAGCAGCAGCAAATGCAGCAGCAAATGCAGCAGCCGCTGCAGCGAACTGCTACTGGAGTTCCTGTGAAAAAGAACGTAGTGGCGGCGGCTAGGGGCCCGGGCGCCCCATCTGCAGGTAGGTTTGTTACTGAGCGTATGCTTGCTCAGACCACTGAACCTGTGGTGTTCAGGTCTAACAATTTGCGCCTATGTTGGGTCAGGGTTTTAGGCGTGCATGCACACATGCATATACGCGGGTTGGAGCTGCTCTTTTGCATGTACAGGAAGGGCGCCGGATGCGGATTTCCCCTCCATTTCTGCAGGAGCTTCTGGTAGGGCCCTTTGTTGCTGATGCAAACATTGCTCCTGTTGCTGCTACTGTTGCTCATTCGGCGTTTAGTGGTTATCGGCCACTTCGGTGTTGTGCTTGTTCATTGCTCTGCAGCAGGAGCAACTGAGGAGGGACCGAAACGGGCCGCGGCACAGTTGCAGGGTAAGGATAGGGGGTATTTGTATAGTAGTGAAGGGGTTATTACTGTCGTATGATTATAGTTAACCACAATTATGCTGTTATTATGTTGGGGATTGCAGCATGGGCGTAGCGCTTAGAGTTCGCATTTGTGGGGGTGTAGCAAACGTTTAGCGGCACTACTTGGGCAAAGGCAGCGAATGGGGAACAGTGACGAGACCATATGCACAGCAGAAACAAAAACGCATGACAAATACACAAGAGGCAAGCCAGAGTAGGGATGGAGTAGGCCAGGCAGGGCTCCATGTAGAGGCGTGTAACACGAGTGACATAGACAGTAGGAGGACGACACACAGTGGCTGAAGGTATGGGTTTGGCTTTTCGGAGTTCGTTTGGAGATAATGGTTTTTTGAGCAGATCTACTGCCATGCTTGCCACAGATGCAAAACGTGCTTTTAGCATTTTGTCTGTGTTGTTCTTCTCTAGAGTGGACCAGTCTCTTGGCCGAGTGCGAATTGCCTCTGGACGTCCCAATCCTGGAGTACTTAGCCACTATTGAGGTGAGGAGACCATTGCGACATGCACTCCTTTTAACCTTCTCGCTGCTTTGGCTTTGCTTTGTCTCACTTGTTTGTGTCCCGTAACATTTCCCCCTTCATGCCGTTTATTTGTGGTGTTCGTTGGTGTGTGTCGTAAGTAGCAAGCAGGTGCTGTAGCTAATACGCTGTAGTGCAGTGCTGAGGTGTATTTTGTTTGTTTGTGTGTGCTGTTGGGCTGTACATGTATACACTTCAGAACCCGCTGGAAGTGGAGGAGTTTCTGCAGGAAAGTTTTCCCAGCCACAAAAATTTGCGGCTTTTCGCCGAGAACTTCGTTTTGACGAATGACAAATACAATAAGAGGCCCCAGGACGACAAGGGGGGGCCACAGAGTGTGTCGGTTTGTCTTTTTCCTCCTTATTCTCCTGCAGCATATATTGGACTTAGCGGACATGAGCGAACAAGTAGACAGACTGCCCACTGTGCATAATCCACGGTTGCCTTCAGGGCGTAAAATGCTGGTGAAAGTGATTTTGGTGAAACTGATCTGCATACGGTTCTGCATGCTTGCGCATGCATGGTATGTTTGTTTGCTTTGCGGCTCAGCAGCAACAAACTGGGAGGCGATCCAGGGCAAAGGAAGATCCCGCAAAAAGAAACCGCAGGGGCGCCCTGTAGACCCAAGTTTGCTGGGTAGGCATGCCGAAGTGGGTGTTAGGCTTTCCTTTCCTCGCCCAATTATGCGTATATTTCGTTCCCTCTGACTTTTTTTTTCATTCGTGTCGGTCGCTTTAATAACTTGCCTCTGTTTTCAAAGGCGTTGCGGACCGTTGTTTCGTTGCGGCTATCTCTTTTTGTTTTGCGTCTGCGTCTCTCTCTCCGAGTCATTTCATGTGTCTCGCCTGTTCGTTTGACTCTCCTGTGCATTTGTTTGGCTGTTTTGGTCTCTGCTTTATGAATATTTATGCTGAATTTGCGGAATCGGCATCTGCTGGCATATCTTGTCGTCCGTCTGACCTTCGCCGAAGTTATTTATCTGTGTTTGTCTTTGTATTCTCGGCTTGCCGTTGTATTTGCTTGGTGCGAACAGTTAGTGGCAGCACTCCTGTAGCCGTATTAGCTGTCCTTAGTACTGCAATGCTCATTGTATTGTAAACGGCAGTAAACTGTTGCCACTTGTTTGTTTATCGGGCCTCCTGGCAGCTACTGCATTTAGTATCGTTGCTTATTCTACGAGTAGGATGTGGATTCCCAATCATCCGTGATAAGTCGTGACTGGCTTTCCGGGGGTGTTCATGTGCCGCAGGCATTTCCGTAAAGAACAACCGCTGCAGCTCTGGGAGTCTTGAAGGTGTAGACTGAGGGTTTCACACGAGGTACAGAGATATAATGAGAATAGACGAAAGGACAAAAATGCAACCAGCCTCAACAGCCCCATGCAGCAACAAAGGCTGATGCGTGCGCTTAGCCGGCGACGGCCACTACTCTTGCTGCAGCAGCCATGCACCATTTACATGCAGGCATGCATGAATTCTCGCGTGCCTGCGAGAAGCCCGACAGCTAGCTAGTTAACTAGCTCCGGGCTTTCAGCTGCTTTGCAGACTTGGAGGAAGTGAATGCACAGACTTAGTCGTTGCGGCTTCCACCTTCTGCTGTGTGGTTGCTTGGCGGGCGGTCCTGCAGACCCATAGCAGGCCTCTTCTTGCCTCGAGGGCTGCCAATGAAACAAAGTAGCAGAAGGCTTTTGTTTCTGCCGCTTCGGAGGCGCAAGCAACAGGGCTCGAATTGCCCCTGCAGCGTCTATACACGGTAGAAGGATCCGAACATCTGAATAACCCGGTACAATTCATTTAATTATTTCAGTTAAGGTGGAGTTATGCGCACTTCAATCCCATCAATGGGTTCACCATTCCGGGACGTCAACGTGCTAGGTAGGTACGATGATTTTCTTCCTCTGTTCTTTTTGCGTGTGTAGATGAATAGCGCGTGCGAAGGACCATGCGTGCACAGGTACGCTATATATATATATATATATATATATATATATAT